AAAAATTCTACTCAAGTTAGGCAGAAAAGGGAGTTTACCAGCTTATATAATTTGAAAGTCCAGGGATAGCACTAACAGGTAAAGTTATTAATACAAAGGTTCAAACACTGTCATAAGAACTTGGTCTCACTCTTTTTACTTTTTGGCTCTGCTTTTCATTAAGCATCAATTCACATTCTATTCTCTCAGCAAATCCAGAGTTCAAAGTATGCCTCTCTCAATAGTTAAAAAAGAAACCAAAAAACCAGAGTTAACACTCATGTGTGCATTGGAAATGTGACCATCTCTGAACAGTCATTGTCGTCCAAGTGATAGACTACACTGCCCATTAAGTAGGCCTGGGACATGTGCATACTTGTTGTAGGGTGGGATTCACATAACTGAGAGGGCGGTACCCTGGGACAATTGGGGTATTGTTATCGCACGAGGGAATGGATGATGGACTGTAAAATAACTTCAATACTTTACACTCTGAATCTTTTTGCATACTGTCCACCAGTACGGGGAAAGGCTTTCTTTCTCATTTCTGTGTAGCCAAATCTAAGTTACATTCATATTTCAAAAAGTCTTCTGTAATTTCTTCAAAATTTTTTGTGTCCACTGGATTAAGTGACCCATCCCTAAGTAATTCTTTTCCGTTTAAAAAAAAAAAAAACAGGAAAAAACTCAAGAAAATGTTCCTGATAAATTCTAATCATGTCCAATTATAAACAATATGGGTGATATACTTCCTAGGATGTAAATTCTTATAGGTCAGTAGCTCTACCATATTCAGTCTATACATTATGAAAATAGTCTGCAAGGCAACATTGATATAAACAGCATTCAAATACTTTTACTTGACTTTACAGTTTCTATACACCTTTTTGTATAGACCAAAACACACACACACACACACACACACACACACACAAAACGGGCTGGCAGGTGGCGTGGTAGTTAAAGGTGCTGAACTCCCACATGGTTGACCACGGTTCAAGTCCTAAACCTGGTGACTTGCTTTCTCACTTTCCCTCTCTCTCTCTTATTCACTCACTCTGTTCCTCTCCGGTCAAATTAAAATAAATAAAGTTAAATAAAATAATTCTTTAAAAAAGAAAAATCTTAGCAACCATAAGGTGGGGCTGAATTCATTATTATCTGTTTATAAAAAGACAAATAAGGATCTTAGAGTTACCACCAAATAGGCTTAAATGATGGCTAACATCTCTCCCATTCCCTTGAGCTACAGGTCTTTGAGCAAATTATTAAAACATCTCTTGGTTTCACTAACTGTAAAAACAAGAATAGTGTTACCTAGGGACCAGCAGTTGGCGTAATGGCTATGTCGCTGGACTCCCATGTAGTGGACCGTGGTTCAAGTCCCGGACCTGTTGGCTTAAACTCACCCCAGGCGTGAGTGCGTGTGTGCCCAAGATCCTGAGAGAAGAATGGAGGAAAAAGGATTGCGGCGTGGCCATCCTCCCCCCCACACACAGGGGGGAGGGGTGATTTCTCTCTGTCTCTCTATCCCTCTCTGTCTTTCTGGTGAGTGCACACACCTTATAGCTCTCAACTGGTGAGTGCGCACACATTATAGCTCTCAAAAAAAAAAAAAGAAAGAAAGAAAGAAAGAAAGAAAGAAAGAAAGAAAGAAAGAAAGAAAGAAAAAAGAAAAAAAAGGAAAAGAAAAAGAAAAGAATAAAAAAAAAAACGAGAACGGTATTACCTATTTGCACATGGGAAAGCTGCATGGTATGGTGGAAAGGAAGAGTTAAGATGAAATTCTACCAATAATACTAGCTGTATGACTTTCTTTGAGTGATTCCTTACATGTAAAGATTACAATATTCGGTCCACGGGCTGTTGTGTGTATTTAACAATGCAATGTATTTTAAAACACCTAACATGATGGACAGCAAATAATGAACACTTAAGAAATTATATTATCAGCACTAACTTTGAAACAATTCAGACTGGGACCAGCAGTTAGCATAATGGCTATGTCGTTGGACTCCCATGTAATTGGCCGTGGTTCAAGTCTCAGACCCCGCGGCTTAAACTCACCGCAGGGCGCGTGTGCATGCATGCCCAAGATCCCAAGAGGAGAATGGAGGAGAAGGGATTGTGGCATGGCCATCCCCCTGGGGGGTGATTTCTCGCTTTCTGTCTCTCTGTCTCTCTCTGTCTTTCTGGTGAGCGCACACGTCCTATACCAAAAATAAAATTAAAAAAAAATTCCGACTGTATTATTGTACTAATTATTTATAACTTTATAAATAAAGTTAAATAAAATAATTATTTTCCAGAGCCCTTAACCACCACGCCACCTGCTGGACCTTTTCATCTTTTTTTAACCTTTTTTACCAGATAAAATGTCAGTCAGCAAAAAATATGTTTTATATATAGAAACTATTAAACTACGAGTAATAACATACTTAAATATTAGAAGCACAGGAAGGAAAAACTTTCTGAGACTACTTACTATTTTTCTTGAGTACTCTTGGGTTTTATTAGCTAATAAAATATTTCTTGGGCCAGCAGGTGGCAGCGTGGATAAAGCAGGTGAATCCCACAAAGTTGACTTCATGGTTTTGAGTCCTGGACCAGCAGCTTGAAAAAACACGTGTACAGCATGTATACACAAACAAAATTCCATGAGAATAGAAAGAAGAGACTTGAGTAATACTATCCCCTCTGGGGGGATGATTTATCATTTTCCTTCTCTTTCTGTCTCTCTGTTTCTCTCCAGCAAGTGCATGCACTCTATGGCAAAAAGGAACAAAAAAAAGTTCTTGAAGGCTCAACACTGGAAGTACTAAAAAGGCAGGTAAGTAAGAGGGAACCAGCAGTTAGCATAATGGCTATGTGGCTGGACTCCCACGCCGTGACCATCCCCCCTAGGGGGTGATTTCTCGCTTTCTATCTCTCTGTCTCTCTGTCTGGCGAGCACACGCACCCTATAGCGAAAATCTCTCCAAAAAAAAAAAGGCAGGTAAGATGATGAGCTAGGCTCCCATAATCAACTTGCTCTTTAGCTTCAGGCCTAATGTAGTTATACTAAAGTGATTTACCCCAATATGAATTACTATTGCCATAAAGCCATCTCCTCAACAGAATCAGGATATTTGGAGTAGAAATGATCATTTTTGATGCTGTCAGAACACATACAAAAGGCAAGTGGCTGCTCACATTCACCTTGGCAAGAAAGTCTAATTTTCATATTATTCACTAAAAAAATACAAATTCAGTGTAACTATTGCCCAAAAGAGGTTAAGCAGCCATTTAATTTCTTCCATTTTACATTATAACAAGTTTCTTTGGAAATAATAGTTTTTTGAAATAGTTTAACAGTTCTATTTTTCCAAAATAAGAGAATTATCAATATATGCAGTATCGTACAAACACAAGAGATGGGTGTGAATGTCAGATGAGGATATGTGGAGGAGTGGGGCCTAACAAAGGGCATTTGGAGAAGGGATACGGCGATAGAACATTGACGGGATGGGGAAGTGTGGTATTATCCGTTGAAGATATTTTGATCAACGGGACGGGGGAGAAATGTTCACATATTGAAATGCTCACATTGTAAGCTAAACAACACGATTGAATGTATATAAAAAAAGAAATAAATTTTAAAAAACTTTTTGAAAAAAATATATGCAGTATCAAATTTTTTTTTTTTTTTTTTTTTTTTTGCTATAGGGTGTGTATGCTCACCAGAGAGACATAGAGAGACAGAAATCATCCCCCAGAGTGGACCGCCATGGGGCAATCTTTTCTCCTCCCTTGTCCTCTAGGATCTGGGGCATGCAGACACAAGCCTAAGGTGTGAGTTTCAAGCCTCCTCTGGGTCCAGGACTCAAAGCAAGGTGGATCATGTGCGAATCCAACAAGTAAGTATTATACCACCTGCTGGTCCCAATACTTACCAATTTTTAATGGTAAAAAAGTGGGAAGGTGTTACATCTCAGAGTTAAAAATCAACATCAGACACAAAGTACTGCATGTGCATTCTTCAGTTGCAAAAGCACTACATGAGAAAAATGTTTAACCATGTCATATTATACAAAATCTGTGTAAGGGATTTTCTTCCCCTTTTTTATTTGTGTGAAACACGAATAGACTCAGTTTTTAGACTCTCTGAAGAAGCTGTAGTCTAAACACGAGAGAAACCTACACTGAACCTCAGTCAACTGACATTATTTCCTATAGCTAATATATATATATTATATATATACACATATATACATATATGAACAGCGCCTAATTCCTTATTTTTGTTCCCGTGTTCATAAACACGTATAAAGCAGTGTAATGCTTAAAAAGGGCAAAAGCAAATTCAGTTATGGTAGGAAATCTAATCTAAGTAGCTTTTTTCCTTTCAACTTTTTTTTTTTTTTGGGGG